TTACTTATGAAAATGTTAACGATTACAAAGGGGATTACATTTGAATATTTACACACATCCACATACAGATTTTATTGATTTCTTTCCCAAATTGGACTGAGTACTCTGAGACATACGGCCCTATAATTTCCGCGATGGGGAAAACACAGACTGGTTCATAGAATCCAGTCATAAAAACGGAATTCCTTTAGCCTAACGCGGACGGAATATGCCACATTTTGGACGAATAAATCAAAAGTAGGTCAGTACACTTGAATCAAAACGCGATATGGACTAGTGTCTGTGAATATTAAGCCGCAAAAAGACTATATGAATCCTGCTCGTTCTGCATGTCTGTGGAAATCAGACCCGCGGACTGGCCATCGGGAGAACCGGGACAATTCCCGGTGGCCTGGCAGCCGATTTGGCCCGCTATTTAAATATTATTATTGTATAATTGCCTGCCGAATGTACTAAAGCGATTATTTCCGAATTCGCCATTTGATAATTAAATCTCTAATTAATCATGAATCAGTTAGTCGTGACTGACAATGCTTCGGCTCACGCGCTCTCCGTGCCTCCTCTAAACGGTTTGGATCAGAGTAATCAATGCGAGAGAGAGAATGGAGTGGACTGTGGAAGCGCATAGATGGAGCAGAGAAGCAAAACTACTGTTCAGGGTTTCAAGTGCAAGTCAGTTTCATCTGTAAATATGCTATTGTAGTTTTGTCTTTGTTTATTTAGTTAAGCAGCAGCAGCCCACTGCTCATAAGTCATCATTCAAAATACTGTATAAAGGACATCATTATTATTTATTGTAATGTTACAGTAGTAATTTAGCAGACAAATAATCATATTTTATTATAGGTTTAGGGGGAGCTTGGGCAGACAACAACACAACCCTTACGAAAATTAACGACGATTTTACTATAAATCCAAAGACAATGGTTACTATTGTTAAACCATGGTAACCACAAATCAACCATGGTTTTTGCTACACTAACCATAGTTTAACCATGGAATTTGTAGTAAAAAATAAATACAAATGGTAATCCATTTGCCAAAATCAAACAAAAAAAACATGGTTACTGTACTTTTACTATAATAAAAGCATGGTTAATTTTTGTAAGGGAAAAACATGACTCGTGTTCAGTATTAGGATTTTTCCATAAAGTTATTGTAGTGATGTACTAATTTTGACATTGGCAATTTAGAAAGTATAGTTTTGTTCAATCTTGTGTATTAAAGTCGTGTGAGAGATAGATATCAGGGCAAAATTAAGAGACTGAAAAGAAAAATGGAAGTGAAGGTGCAGTTCAGGAGAGAACTTTGAATTATTTTGCATGTCCCCAACCTAAGGATTTAAACCTTTTTTATGTGAGGTCCATACAAAAAATACGGTTGTCCATGTTTCAGAATTTGTTGTGGGTGTATGAGTGTGAGATTTCCCGGCCTGAATTTTTTTTCCCAGTCCGCTCCTCGTGGAAATTAATGGCGCAGACATGCGGTTTAATTTACTACACTTTAGGCCTACTGAAGCTCACTGTGTTTTCAGCCTCTGCTGCCTCAATATACATGAACACTGTACATGAACACATAAACATAATCTCAAGACTTCTCTGAGTCACTTCATGAGCATTTTACTTATTTTGAGAAAACTATTGTCATATATACAAAAAGACACCAATATTTCAGGAGTTTAGTACACAGAATAGGACACATGCTTATTAGATAACCGTATTTGAGCGCAGACATGCGGTTTAATTTACTACACTTTAGGCCTACTGAAGCTCACAGTGTTTTCAGCCTCTGCTGCCTCAATATACATGAACACTGTACATGAACACATAAACATAATCTCAAGAACTTCTCTGAGTCACTTCATGAGCATTTTACTTATTTTGAGAAAACTATTGTCATATATACAAAAAGACACCAATATTTCAGGAGTTTAGTACACAAAATAGGACACATGCTTATTAGATAACCGTATTTGAGTTGATGTATATACTTTTATTTATTATTATTTTTTAATTAACATTTTTTTCCCCAAACCATTGTTAGATGCAGTGTTTAAAAAAAAGTGAACTATTTCTTATGATTTTAAATCTTCATTGAACTTCAGATCAATCTCAAAGTAAAAGGCGGTACTAAAGTCTAATTTTGTGGTGGATGTGTTCAAATTTGATCATCTTAATTCAAGTGATGAAGGATTTTGAAAGTCTGACAGTGTTGAGCACTGCTGTAAGGTTAACCCTGCATGATGTTAATGTTTGAAAATGATTAACAATTGCAAATAAACATTCATTAGAAATTTAGAAAAGTAATCAAAAAGTAACCAAAAGTAATCAGTTACATTACTTTAATAAAGTAATTGAAAAAGTTACACTACTATTACATTTTAAATAGGGTAACTTGTAATCTGTAACCTATTACATTTCCAAAGTAACCTTCCCAACACTGATAATAAAATGCTGTGAATTTTTAGAGTTTAGTTGCCGTGTTTTGGCACATTGTTGCGTGAAGAACGCATCCACAAAAGGAGTTAATTCAGAGCCACGCAGATATGTTCATGTGCATTCGAAGCATTTTGTGCAGATAGCATATAAGTCGTAATATTAAAGCTAAGTTGTATAAATAACAAAACGTATTCTATATGAGATAAATGAGTTAAATCCCATTGATTAAAAACCTGCTCATATTCATTCTACTGGCCATCTTCAGTGCGCGCAGCTCAAAACAGAAATGCAGAACATAAATAACTAGGCCTACTGTGACATAACGTTATGAGAGCACTTGTAAAAATTTTGTGAATTCTTAGGGTTTCGCTGATGTTTAATGTTAACTATCTTTTAATCAAAACATTAACATTATTTACCCCGTTTGTATCTGCGAGGCATCCGTTACACATTGTCCCTGTGTGTTAACGTCAGTATTTATGACTGTCGAATGTCTGACTTGACTCTTGGTAATGTAATTTGCCCCACCCCCAAACATATGATTTGACTATCAGTCAACTATCTGCAAGATTCTAAAATTCCAATTTGACTATGTAAATCCTTAGTCGGGGACACCCCTATATGTTACAAGCATTTTTATAAGTTAACTTGTAAAGTCACAACAAATTTGAAGTGAAAAGTTACTAACTGAAATTGCTGATGTACATTATTCAGCCTCACTTAATCATTCCCTGAAGTCTTCCAATCCTATCCAGAACACTTTTTTCGGATCTTTCCAGATCTTTAGCGCTCCACACTACAGGTTTCCTAAAGGTATCTGCCCGAAAATAACCAATGCATTTTTACAATCAGCCCGCCAGAAACAGATGTTTACAGGATGCAGGCATGAGGTGGAATTTAGGACCCTCTCAAACATGTAGCCTAGTACGACTGACCTACTTTTTCCCAAGCAGACATTGCCATCACTGAGACTCCCACATATAGATGATTGACTGATATGAACTGGACAATATTTATAGCCAGAGTCACTGGTTAGTTTGATGCTCAACATTCCATTACATCATACAGAGCTTTTCCCGTATGTCACTGAGCATCCCATAGTGTGTGGAAATTTCCTTATTTGGTCCAAATCCCATTTATGTCACACTTTCAAATCTGTAAAAGCATTAAGGCAAGTTAACAAAGCATAACTAAAAAAAAAAATTTAAACTCCGATCTATGATCCCGCTTTTGCTCTGGAAATGGAAGCAAAACAGGGTCACAAAAGCTGATTGGCAACTACATCAAAGAGTGGTGACCACACATTTGATTGCTGAAGGAATTGTACTGCTTGCTCTGTTGTCAAATTCAACCAGGCACAACGACAGGCAATGTGTATGTCTACCCTGACCTCAAAAACATTGCCAATCAGAATAGTTCCCTTGCACTCCTAATGCTCTGCAGCAGAAGAGAGTAAAACTAAGAAAACACCCTGTATTTTATGATTTGCATGTTTCTTTCTCTCTGATTTACCACGAGGAACTGAAAAGACTTGTCATATAATATCCCATTCCAAAGTCCATAACGTAACTCAAAACTCCAAACATCGGTGCAAGGTGAAAAGTTAACAGCTGCATGATGAAGGACAGAGGTCCTAAAGACCATGCACTACTGGTGAGATGAAACTTGTTCATGTGAGGCATCTTAAATCAACCAACTGTGCAAGATTAGGATAGCTATTCCTGTTTGTTGAACAGTGGCAGCTATGGAGAACCACTTAGCGCTGCTTTAAAGTGCATTGGCTTTTGTTGTTAGTGGAATTGTATTTCCTGATAAGAGTGCTCAACTCTGTTCTTACCGTCTAAAAGACTTACGACTGACCAAACACCCTCAACAAGGAGAACAGACACACTAAGGTGTACTGAACAGATACCAGAAACTTGGGAGATTCTCCTAAAGTAAGAAAGCACTGGATGACAGCATGTCCCAACATCCGGACTTTGCATGTCATTAGCACATTTTGATTAGCTCTGTGATAGATGATCAGATGCTCATGACATTATGGACCAGGGGTGGAGTTTTGCATTATCCTAAAATAAACTGTTACACTTTAGTTTAAGGTGTCCTTGTTACAGTGTAATTATACATTTAAGTACTGAGTAAAATTAATTACATGTACTTACTATATGCTTAGGATTAGGGTTTGTCTTAGGGTTACTTGCATGTAATTATGCATAATTTATTGTTATTATAATAGTAAGTACATGTCATGTGTATAACAAGGACAATGTAAAATAAAGTGTTACCAATAATCATTCTTTAACTCTTATCCTTAGGTTTTCAACATGCCGCTCCCTCCCCAGACCTGATATAGATATGTCAGTCATGGTGCTGTCACAGGCAGCAGAAACAGCCACACACTTTCTTTTTTGACTGACAGTTTACATCTGCCATTTAAACAATCCTCACATAATATTGCTTCTTAATGTAAAATGTATTTGACGCACTAAAGATGAGCATTTGATTTTGTAAAAAGGTTTTAAAACATCAAATGCACTAAGATGGAAGGATGCAAGTACTTACCCACTTCAGAGACCACCCCTTTTGGATATCTCATCCTTGTCCTATTCACTGTCAACCAGAATATTTTCTAGTGCCCTTTAAATGTAGACATCCAAATCCTCTCAGACTTACTTCTTTTCTTTTATTTTCAACTGTTGTTAAATCTGTGCTTAAAAGAGTATATAAAAGCAAACTGATACTTCCACGCAAGAGCAACCTGAGTGCTACTGCGCCAGAGTCTGGAGTTCAGCTGACTGTGCTGGAATCAAAGCTGTTGACATTGCTCCCTCCCTCTCTCACATTGCTCTCTCACTCCCTCCCCTCCCTCTCCCCTTCTCTGGAATTCAGGCTTAGCACATGACAGCATGCATGTGTATATGTAAACCAGCATGAGAAGAAATGGAGTGAGAAAGCAGCATGAGAAATAATGACACTCCTAATGTCACTAAAGCCTCCTTCTAGTCATATTCCCAATCTAGGCTGCAAGAAGAAAAGACCGGAAATTAGGGAACTCAATTCCTGCATGTTCTCACCATTTTTATAGACTGGCGTATGTTGATATCTAATAAGAACTAGCAGCACTGAGATTTTTTGTCAAGCAGATCTAAATGGAGTGCATGACCCAAAAAAATCTCAGCTGAATGTCAGATTTACACTGCTACATCCTTATTATATAAATCAACATTTTGTGAGTAAATCACTCACATATGCAACTAAATTTCACACTAGGAAACTAAATGTCTATCGTGAGCCATTCATATTAATTTGCCATTGGGTTAGAGGCAAAGAAGTTTAGCACAGATATATTTCACTGTGTATTGTGTCATATGCAGTGGCGCAAAAAGGGGGTATGCAGTATATGCAGGGTCGCAGCACGAAGAGGGGCGCCATTTTGCCGAAATCATTCTGTGAAAATCTTCTTTAATAAAACATTATAAATAATCAAAAGCTTAGTTGTTAAAAAATAATGTAATGAAAAAAATGTATTTAATGGTTTTTAGCATTTTTAATGAGTTCAAAAATGTATAATAAACTGAGTACATATCAACCGCTCACCCTTCGACACATTATTGGTACAGACAGAGTCACATGACCAAAATGAATAGAGGAGGGAAACGCTCTGGGGCGAAGTACAGAAAAGACAAAGGGGGAAAAGAACAATGCATTAAAATAAGGACAGCAATATCCAAGTGAACTAAAAGAAATTGGTTAGCTCTATAAAGACTCTATAAATTAATTCAACATTTAATGTTGTTGCTTAAGATGGCAAAGTGATTAACGTTAATATCAGTTCATTTCTGAGTATCTGTTGCTCAAAAAATAAAAAAGTCACGCTATGTGAATGGGTGTGAATGGGTGTTTGATTCACATTTGAGAGGAACTGAGATTATTAACAAGGATACAAACAAGCTACCTTTCGCCGAAAATTGCCATTTTGAATACAAAATAGGCCATTTGTGTGATTCAAGTAGATCAAGTAGAGTTTATTTATTGATTTTTTTTATTCTTGCTACTTAATACTTTGTATAAAACAATGCTGAACTTTGACAAAGAGGTGATTTTTTAAATGTTATAATAGTGATTTTATAATATCTAAATATAAATCCAAAATCAAAGCATGTGAAAAGAGCTATATTATGGAGTGGAAATGGTAAATGAGACAATGAATGATCCTCTGCTGCAATCTAGTGGTTATAGTGGGAATATCATGAAATTCATTTCAATAGTATTTGTATTTCTACCAGGTGGCAGTAAAAAAGTAAAAATGAAGTATAAGTATAAATGCAGATGAAATTACCTAATTAAAAAGTGTGCAATATTTTATGTGTTTGAAGAAATATAGGCCTACTTTAAAAAAAAAAGCATTATACTGTCTAGGGTCAGCCATCAGTTTAGTTTAGTTTATTAATTTGTAAAGCACATTTCAAAACAACAGAGTTGTAACCAAAGTGCTGTACAGAGGTATTAAAACAAAATTAGAACAAAATTAAAACAGAATTAATAACACTGGATCAAAACCTTGGAGACAAATGTAAAAATATAAACAGCCTCAATTAAAACATAAAGAATACAGATACGTTTTTAGGGAAGATTTAAAACAAGAAACAGAAGAGGAAGATCTAATATTGAGAGGGAGACTGTTCCAAAATCTGGGAGCTGCCACCAAGAAAGCCCGGTCACCTTTAGTTTTGAAACGTGAGTGAGGAACAGAAAGATGATTGGAAGAACCTAAGTGTCATGTGGTGTTTGGGTTTTGTTTCATGTTCTTGTTTTCGTGTCTTTTATTTTGTAGTTTGATTCCTGCTGTTAGTGTCATGCTTGCCTTTCCTCATGTCTCTCTGCCTTGTCTATGTGTCATGCGCTCATTGGTTATTGTCTAGTCATGTGATTCCCTTGTCTGAGTTATGTTCTCATTGGTTGCTTTAGTCATGTGCCTTGTTCCCCATTGGTTTGTCTTTGTATTGTGACCCTCATTGCTTGATATAAATAGCCCTCGTGTTGCCTTTGTACTTTGTCTAGCTTTGATGTTGTAACCTGCTGTCGGTGAGTCGAGTCTGTTCATATCAAGTCTGTTTCATGCCTAGTCAAATCAAGTCAAGTCTGTGTCTCTTGTTTGGATTATGTTTGGATTTTGCATTTCACCTTGTTTGAATAAAACTGCACTTGGGTTCTCACTACGCTCGGCTTCAGTGGACTTTCATAACAGAAAGCTAGACCCAGAACAAAATGAACCTAGCAGTTTCACGCCTCCTCTGCCTGCGTCAAGGCAACCGGGCCATTGAGGAATATGTTCAGGACTTTTGTGGACTGTGCCATTTGGTGGCTTTTAATGATGTGACCCTTAAGGACATTTTTCGAGTGGGTTTAAATGAACCCATTCGTTCTCAGTTGCCTGGGAGAAAGATTTCGTTGGTCACTGGAGAAATATATTGACTATGCTTTGTTGCTAGCTGGTTCACCTCTTACTGTTGGGATGGCTGAGGAGGAGCCCTGTAATTTTGGACTACCAACCGCACCAGAGCACTTTCACGTCCCAACTGTTATGTCTGGAATTATTCATGTCACATCAGAGTCTACGGAGCCTGCTAACGTCTTGTCTGCCAAGCCAGAGCCTGCTAACATCATGTCTGCAACTCCAGGACCTGCTCAAATCATGACAGTTAAGTCAACGTTTACTCATGTCATGTCTACAAAGTCAAAGCCTGATCACATCATGCCTGCCAAGCCAGCGCCTTGTCATGTCATGCCTGCCATGCCTGAGTCCCCGGCCAAGATGGCCTCCACGCCTGATTCCCCGGCCAAGATGGCCGCCACGCCTGAGTCGGACAAGGAACTTGGGCTTGGACTGAAAGGTCTGATTGCTAGAGTGATGGACCCACCTCTGATGTTGCGAGCTGCGGGCATCCCCATGACATCAGTGCTCTCAAGCCTAACAGTCCTAGAGGTCCTGCCGCCCTCTCCTGGCCTTACTTTAATGACAGTCACCATTTTAAGCATGTGGGCTGTACACTGCGCTCAAGAGGCCTCTCCTATCCACGAATCTGCTCCTGAGGCCATTCCTGTCCATGAATCTGCCCCAGTGGCCTCTCCTGCCTATGAGTCTGTCTCAGAGGCCATTCACGAACTCACTGTCTGCAATGTCATGGCCACGGAGGCCGTTCACGAACTCACTGTCTGCCCTGTCACGGCCATGGAGGCCGCTCACAAACTCTTTGCTTGTCCTGTTATGGCCATGGAGGCCATTCATGAACTCACTGTCTGTCCTGTCACGGCCATGGAGGCCGTTCATGAACTCGCTGTCCGTCCTTTCTCGGCCAAGGAAGCCATTCAAGAACTCTCTACGTGTTCTGTCACAGTCAAGTGGTCTGTCCATGTCTCTGCTCTGCCATGGCACTCCGCTCTGCCTGCACTGCCATGGCTCCCCGCTCTGCCTGCTCCGCCATGGCTCCAAGCACCTCTGGGTCTGACCTGGTGGTCTCCTGCTCCACAGTCCCACTGCCTGCCTTTGTGCCACACTGCCCTGTTCCCCTACATGGGCCTGGCCCTCCGTCCCTCCCCCAGTTCTGCCTCCACTCCACCACCCTCCTGGACTTTTTGGATTTTGTTTGGGCATCTGGAGCCGCCCTTAGAGGGGGGGAAATGTAATGTTTTGTTTCATGTTCTTGTTTTCGTGTCTTTTATTTTGTAGTTTGATTCCTACTGTTAGTGTCATGCTTCGTTATAATAAGGATCTTGAGGCACTGTATGGGACAAGAAGATCACTGATATACTGAGGGCAAGTCCATGCAAAGCTTTATAAACAAAAATATTTTTTAAATAAACCCAGGACTTAACTGGTAACCAGGGGAGAGAGGCAAGCACAGGAGTAATGTGCTGACACTTTTAGTGCCAGTCAATAGCCTGGCTGCTGCGTTTTGAACCATCTGCAAACGCTTTACAGGTGAATTAGGCAAACCCAGGTATAAAGAGTTACAATAATCCAACTTTGAGGTGATAAATGCATGAATAACAGTTTCAAGGTGTTTCTTAGAAAGCATAATCTTGATTTTGGCAATAGATCTTAGTTGAAAGAAACTGCTTTTAACAATAGCACTAATCTGCTTATCGAAACTCAAATTGGAATAAAAAATGACACCAAGATTTTTGATACAGTCCTGAACATTTGAAGAGCTGATTAACTATGTCAGAGGTCAAATCTGGTGGGGCAAGGATAACCACTTTTTTCACCCCTGATGAGTTTGTATTGGGCTTTTGGTCATTAACTTACAGAAAGTTTTCTGTGGGAGTTCGTGTTAGGGGCTAGAATACAGGGGGGTGCCAACACTGATCTTGCATACTCCTCAGCAAATGTGCAGTTGCGCCTCTGGTCATATGTCAGCTTTATGATGCATACACACTAGAACACTCTGACTGAGCTAGGGGTTGACCGATTATCGGCGGCGATATTAAGCATTTTTATGATTATCATATCGGTCAGTTTCAAAACCGATTCGCCGATAAAATAACTTAATTTTGAAACGCGCTATTTGGCTCTGATGCAGCCTGTCAGAACTCACCACTCTGTGGCCTAAAGCAATCTCCGCCCACCGCCCATCTGATTTGTTGGGAGTCACGAGTCCGACCAATCAATGCGGAATTCACACCGAAAGCGCTTGCTAACTGGAGCTGCTTCAGTGATCATCACGCATCAGTTGTCTCTCAAAGGTAAGGCAGCAGCAGACGTTGCTTAAGTTGCAAT